ACATGCCTAAATACCAGTTGTATTTCCTTTCCCCAAACCGCCGAATTGCAAGAACGTTTAGACCGAAGACTGCCACCCAGTAATAAAACGGTGTAGACGTCAGTTGTGAACGGCTTATATGTCCCATACTCATCGACACATGTTGTAGACTATTTTGAATAGCTTCTGTGTACCCGGGTCTGTGTAGTTTTTTTTTCAAATGTGAAGATTTACAACGAAAGTTGAAAAATTTATAACATTCCCGCTGTAAATCGAACATACTGTGTCCAAATGTACTTTTAATCTTCGATCCAATCGGATTTAGATTTTGCAAGGTATCATACAAGCCGATCGATATATATATATATATATATATATATATATATATGTTTTGCGAGTAGTTCTAATAGGCGCGAAAGCAGTGGCTCTGTTTTTTTTTCCGGACATTCAACGAGCACCTTAGCAACAAGCCACATTTGCACAACAGCATGCCGTCTGTCGTATGCTCAGTTTGTCAGCTCCGTTGAACGTCTCGCCGGTTGCCTGGCAACGCCCAAACGCGTTATCACAACAAATCCACCCCGAGTGTTATCCTTATCAAAATTGTAGCGGGCATCACAGTGTTTGATCACCAAGAGGAAGCGCTGAAATCAAAGCAAAAACACGAAGCAAAACGTACGTAAACACGGCGTCCTTGGGTTGCTCGGATCGTATGCCGGACAGTAGCAGTAACATGGAAAACGTGATTGACGGTATTGTATTGATATCAATGATGATAACTCTATCCGGTTCTCTGAGGTCATTTCTACATTACATTTTACTTTAGTTGAATAGGGGAAGCTACTTTCCGGTTAATCGAAATTAAAATAGTTGCAATTTAAACTTTAATAGCATTTTTGTTTACAAGTTTACACGTGAATTAAATTCCACCTACTTTACAAAACCATGTTAGATGGTCTCCATTATAGTTCATTGATTTTTAGTCGAAGAACGGTCACAGACAAATAACCAGACGGCACCGGTTCGGCAGCTGAGTAAAAACACAGCCCGTCATCCGTACCGCTGTGCCATAACCCTGAACACCCCGCATGCTAAGTAAATGTGAGTAAATATGGCACTGACCTAAAATTAAACATTTATTTCCTCGTTTTTACAGAAGACCGACGATGCGAGTTTATGGGTATCGCCATCCAACATAAGAACCGTAATCCCAAAACTTCCGTAATCAAGATAACACACCAAGCGCGGACAAACCTCAAAGCACCACATATGTAAATTAGAGTACAGCGCCACCAACGTGGGCGGTACTTTACCTAACTTGCCACTTGGGGGCGCTAATAAAATGTAACAAGTTTTTGAATGCAAATCTCTAAATTTTCAACCAAATTTGGATATGGTATCAGAATTATTAAGCCAGTAACAGAATTAAGTGACATTTTATTGAAGTATCAGTGTGGTTAAATCAGATTCATTCTTTGATTAATTTAATAGAAAAACAATAAAAACATTTTAAAAAGTGTTAGGGTTACAAACATATCTGAACTTTAGACAAATTTGCATAAATAAACATGACTGGGGCTGAATTCAAGTTCAGGGGATAACAATTTGAGATTTGCTACTTGAATCTTTACAGGTTAATGACTGCTGTTCCACAAACTGACACGACAAGTGGGGTAATATTTGCCAAAATAAACACATTTTCTTGAACAATTTTTACAAGTCAGATTCATAGGTAGAATAAAATGTACATCACTGTCAAAATAAAATAAACAACATAACAAATAATGCACCACAGACAACCAAATATCTGGATGTCACTGACACTTTGAAATCAAGTTTTTCCAAAGTGTAAATATAATGTTTAGGTCTGAATTGTCAGAGTCAACCATGTTCAGCAAAACAGAACAAAACAAAAAATGGTTTCATTTTTCGAAGAGACACAACTAGACATTTTGAACATTTGATATATGTGTATTTCTTTCATTTCTTTCTGTCAAACAAGCTTAAAAATCTGTGATGAGTACATTTTTAAATGATTATCAAAAACTTAAATATTTGTTTTTGGGTTTTTTTTAAATGAAAAAAAATGCTCCATTAGCTACAGTGAAAGGCATAAGACTGTGATCATTATAAACATATTAAAAATATATTTTTATAAATCAAAATGAATGTTTGAATTCAAATTGACTTATTGTATTGTGACATCATCGTTGCTTCTGATGAATATTAATGAGATGGTTCAACATTATCCAATCAGCAAGCGCCTCATTTTGAATATGAGGGCGGTTACAGTTGCTATGTCATGTGAAGGCATGTGTGAGTATTATGAGCGTAGACAATGTTTAGCGCATGAGCCAATCACTGTTAAATATTTGAATTTGAGTGAAAGCTGACGATCAGCATTCCCAAATATTTATAAATACGTTTATAAACAAAGCCCGACTTTTTTACAGTATACACTATGAAACTTCTACGTGGTAATAGTCTTATGAAACACAGCTGAATAGCACTGAAAATAAAATCAAGGTAAAACAGATTACTGTAGTTTGTAATGTTTACAAGAATTGTATGCAATTACAGAAGCTACATGCATAATATTTCGCAAACGAGAATTAAAAAAAAAAAAAAAATTAAATCCCTCCTGAATACAAACATAAATGACCTTTCACATCTTCACAGGTTAAAGGTCACAATGACGGAACAACTACTCCCAAAAATGGAACTGGAGCCAGATTTATGTATAAATTTAACAATGTTTTAAAATTGGAATGTTTTTCATCAAGGTGTCGTACACCACCAAACAAAATTAAAATATTCAACAATATAGAAAATTAGAATATATTAACTTTTGTAAACTTTATTTAATTAATTTGAAATAAACTGTAAAACATGTCTTTTTCGCGAGCATGTCTTTTTTGCAAATTTATTATCAATGACTTTATTATCAATTCAAAATGGCCGCCAAACAAAGAAATCAATGATGACAAGAGAGATTTGCTAAATCAACATGTCGCTATTACGTCATTTAACTACAAATCGCTAAAATTGCATGCCGCTTTTTCAACATGTTTTACTGTAGTTAGTTTTCTAGAACCAATAATATATAAAACAAAGTTCTTAATTTTCAACATTTTATGAGATTTACTAAATGTGAGCAAAAAAAATGTTTTTTTTTTGTTTTTTTTTCAAATACACAAATTGAGGTCAAAGTGTCAGGAATGTTGTGAGTGTATATTGAACCACAGATTGCACTTGTAGAGCAAATACATCATGATTTTGTTAAGGTAGAAGCCCATCATGATTTTAAATACCCAGAATTTATTATTTTTTAATAAATTGTACTTCTGGTCAATATAAGAATATTGACTTAAAAAAAATTGGGGGTCACCAGGTTAATTTCTGAGAAAATCATGTTTGTATTTTAGTGGATAGCAGCCATTTTGGCACTATTATAATGCTTTTACCAAAGATTCCTATGGAAGAGATATTATGCCATATCTCAAATTGTAGGCTGGTGACATTGTCATGCGATTTATGACCAACTTTCTCAAAAATAATGAGTAGGCTTATGGGTACATTAGAATTCAACTCAATTGCGATTAGATCAAATGAAAGCTTACGTACATGGTGAGAGTTTGATGCTAGTAATAATAAACATTGCACATAGAGGCATCAAATATAATATTAATCCTTGATTGAATAGTAAATCACATATTTTCATAATTTTGTCCAATAGTTATGAAGTGAAGTTTAAATAAATAGACCTTGGATGGCGAAGATGAGTTTGCATGTAGTGGATTTGTAAAATATGAAGAGAAAAATGCCCCTAAATGATTGTTATTATTGTTGATCTTGAAACAATCCATTTTGAATTATATTTTGGATTTCTGGTTAGTTTCAGATTCAGCTTCATCACTGATGGCTTTGTATTCACTTTTTCTAATCATTTATCTGAACTGTGAAATCAACTTTCATTTTTCTATACTTGTGATTTCACATGTCACCAACTTGACGCTTGAGCACTTTCACCCTGGTTTATAAATTCAATGACCTGGAGGTCATAGTTCAAAGGTCACCACTTATATCAAGACATCGCCATCTTTTTGATATAAGTATTTAAATCTGCGATCTCAACTATCGAACACAACATGCAGTGACCGATAAATGCTGCAACATTACCACAAAACACATTTCATGTCAAACATGCAACCATTTTTTTTTCAAATATTATGAAATGCTGAAAAAATAGAAAATGATGTTATCTGGCAGTGACACCAAATATATTTATAATTGATATGAATATTTAATTACATGATTAAAATACAAACCTGAATAAATATATTGACATAAAAAAACACTTGTTATAATTTAGTTGTATAGTGATAATATTTTCAAAATATTATTAAATCTTTGAAATCTAACATTTTTTTCACCTGTACTGTGGTGCAACACTTTTCATGTTTTTATGAATTTTTTTTATAATTTCTTGTAAATTTTAGTCGAAATTGACATAATTTCCAATTGGCTAGAGGTCTTGATCAATTTAAAAAAAAATTATTCATCTTTATTTTGAGAAAGGTGAAAAAGTTGAGATTGCTGCACGATGGTTAACATCCACTGACAACAACAGCTTTGCAGTGGCATGCATAAACTGAACTTTTATTAAATATTTGCATAGAGTTTTATTTTCTGTACATATTGTAATATTTTCCCCCCTCACAATATTCTGCCAATCCCTGTATATTTGTACTTTGGGATGATCCAAGCACAAATGCAGTGTTGTGTGGGTCATACCATTTTTTAATAGGCAGGTACAGGTACTAATGCTGAGGGTGAAGAAATGTGACTTTCTTCAATCTTGATATGAACATGATATGTAAATTAACCAAGTTATAACAGTTTTTTCATCAACATGTGGCAGTTATTTTGATACAATGTCATAAAAATTATTCGTAAAGTTGCAATAAAGATAATAAATAATAAATTCATGACATAAATGATCTAATCATTGCAAACGGCACCACTTGCGAGTTTCATAAACTTTGTAACTGCCAAAAACATTATTAGCATTTACTGTATTCTATAATGCTGTAATAACACGCCCGGTAAACGCAACATCTGAAGGCACTCTTCTCAACATACCACGCACATTAAACTGTCCGTAGGAATCCATCTGAAGTTCGGCTCCATTGCCAATGGCGGGCATTATACCCCCAGGTCCATGTGGCGCACTCCCGTGACCAGCAGGTTTCACCCTACCAAATAGAAATAAGAACACACTGTTATTAATAAATTGCAAAAAATCCTGACAGCAAAAATTTTGAATTTATTTCTTGGTGGATCAAAAATTAATAAATGTGTGAGATAAAAAGATGATATTCTATCTCTCAAAAACCTCACCTGTTGCCTGATATAGCTTCTACAGTTTTGAAAGAGGATTTTTTCTCAACTAACGGTTGGTGGTTTATCTCTACTTGAACTTCTATTTGATGAGATTCCTGTGAAATGAACTCAATTATTATACATCTGTCACCGTAACGCCATAAGTTACAGCGTGCCGTAATTTTGCGGTATTTTATGTGGTATTTTCGTCTTACCACATTAGGAAATGGAAATTCGAAATATGGAATGATTAGGCACGTAAGCGTCCTCTAATAATAAAAACAAACATGGCTGCCACGAGAGTTTGACCGGATTCAACACAAAGAAGTTCGCTGATTCTGTTCTAAACATTTTGAATTTCGGCATTCCCATGGTGTATCCTCAGAAGAAAAAGATGTATAATAATAAGTTTATTACGAGAATACCTCAA